GATATTAATCACTTTAATATTGATATGAGTAGCACCATCTTTTTTAGATGTTATACTTGCCTGCTGTGTGCAGTGGTTTTGCACAGAGCAGCCTGAGTCCCCCCACAGGCTCTTCTCGAATCCACCACAGGCTCTCCTGGCCCCTCCCTCCTGTCAGGTGCCCCCACAGCAAGCAGCTTGCTATGTGGCACCTTCTGCTCCGTGTGTCCATTCACATACGGAGCCACAGCTCAGGCCCACCCCTCTCTCTTCTCATTGGCTCACTGGCTGTGATTGACAGCAGCGGGAACCAAGGCTCCCGCTGCTGTCTCGGCCAATGAGGAGAGGGAGTTCCCAGGATAGCCGGGACTCCAGTGCACATTGCTGGATCGAAAGGGGGCTTAGTTGAGTATTAGGGGGGGCTGGGGGGGATGCTGCAAAGAGAAGGTTTTTTTACCTTCATGCATAGCATGCATGAAGATAAAAAACCTGGAGCCTTTACAGCCACTTTAAGGACTGGTAAAGGAACATTTATTCCATTTTTGTTTTAGAGTTTAGTACCACATTAACTTGCAAGGAGTCAGCTGCATGCAGGCTTGAGATGTTGTTCTGCATGGGTTTTCTATAATAGGCATTTCATTTAACAAACCAACATCATTCCCCAGAGGAGTACAACTAGGAGCTAGACACCTGTGTTTATTTTCACCCATTGATCCTGCCTTTGTCTCCAATGAAGGGGCTTGTCTGCTTTATCACTTTAGTGATGAACATTGCAAATGAAAGCACTCCACATTATTTTATGGCAATAAAATATCTATACAAATTACACAGCTTTCCAGGAGATTGCACATAGCCCATAGACAAAAGAATATGCTTTGAAAAACATACCTGCAAAGTCTGCTAGTTTTATTCCTCTGGGGAATGATGTTTGTGAATGTGGTTAAAAGAAATTACATAAAACCAATGCAGAGAAATGTTTCAATTAAGGCAGGCTGCGCATGATAAAAGTCCCTTCGGAGAGATCTGTTGCTCTGTACTGGACAAAAACTTTCTTCTCCAATTGATACCAGGTGTCCTGCGGTTACTTTGAGATATTCATAGTCATTAGACTGTTTTCTATTCCTGCTGGATAATATTTGCACATTACACTTCCTTATCATGTTCAGTTATTGCTTGATTCCTTATGCATTGTGAAATGCCCATTGGCACAATATCCTTATCAAACTTTGCAGCTCAGGGACTCACTGTGCTCATTACAAAGGATAAAAAGGATGATTTTTTTCCCTGTTTGTATTCAGTGTAATGTAAAATAAATGAATAAATATACAATCTAGTTGCACAATGAAACATCTTTATAATAACCTCAGTAGTGTTGTGGAATATGGAATAGAACTCTCTTGCTACCAGTGTACCCTAACAGATACGCTGTCATTTATTTAGCCTTATGGGAATCCATCAAAGTCATGCCCTAATGACAGTTAAAACAAACTTGTGCTTAATCCATGCAAGGGTATTGGGTATATTCTTCACTCCTGGAGACTGAACGACGTGGCAGAGGAGTTAAAGGAGTGTAGCCCTCTTGTCCTAAACAGGGGCCACTAGCCTACATGTAGTTATTTGGCTGGGTGGTAGTCAGCCCAGGCTAATTGTGTAGTTTTTAACTTGGTCTTCCCTAAACCCAGTGGGGTGGCGATTTCTCTCTGTCGCCAGTAACTATTATTGATATCACTGGCCATAGTAATTCATAAACAAGAATTATCAATATTTATATTTCCTTCAGCCAAACCAGTAGGAGGTTTAAGCCACTGGTGAATGCTAGGTGAGGATATCAATATTTGGGGCAAGCCATGTGCTCTCTCTCTCTTACCCTGGGCTGAGGACAGCTCCGCTGCTGCTGAATGGAGCTCCGCTGCTAAGCCCAATGGCCTGCTTTGGGGCCTATTGTGTGCTCAAATGGTCCTGGAGCTGGAATGGATGGTGATCCAAGGGGGGGTTGCCACTCAGTGCATTTATGCACACCAGAAACCTGAGCAGATACAGGCACTGCCCTTTTTGCATCATCCAGGAGGAAACTGCTCTGCACGTTTTCTGGGAATGACCCTTTGCTCAGGACCTGTTGAGGGCATTGGAACCACAACTTAAGGACTTTGTGCCACAGGCAGTCGTTACACACTTTGTTGTGCTGAATGGACTTTTTCTGTGGAACTTTTACACAGGAGGACATTGCCAGTGCCTGTTGGGTGCTGTGTTGCTTCAGGGATGCTTTATGGTGCACCTGGAAGTGTCTCATCCACCAGTTGGAGAGGCTGTCCATTGAAGACTGTCGGCTCAGAGACTATAACTTGATGGACTTTAAGAAGGAAGAGGACGTCTGAAGATTTCCCCTTCCCCCACTCTCCCTTGCATGTCTTTGTCCTTTCAATAAAGCTTCAGGCCTGTGAACTCTTTTCCCCCTCCCTCAGCCCTCTTTCCTACCCCCCCCCATCATACCCGTTGCTTATTGAATTGTTTTTGTTAATTTGGTAATGTTTTTGCATACCATGGTTTATGCTGCAGTGCCATGTAGGACATGTGTGACAGGGGTCCAACCAAGGCACTGCACGTCTGACATCATGCCTCTAGGTACACTGGTGGGACCTTAGAGGACCACAAAACAGTTTTGGGGTAAGCAGCATGATGTGATGGTTCAAGGAACTTTCACACCACGATAGGCATCATACCGCTGAGTGTATATATGATTGAGACTGTATTGTTATGTGGTGTATTTATTTGCTGCGTCGCAGTACAGGGTGGAATGTACCCCAATGAAATATCTTTGTTTTTTATATAATTATATAAAAATAAATTATATTTTATTTTTAAAAATGGTCCTGGAGCTGTCCTGTCTAGTGTGGAGGACCCTGTGCTAAGGAGAAGACCCAGGGGAGGCCCCTTGCTGGAGAGAGCTGGGAAGAAGGCTGGTCTCTCAGAAGGGCATGGTGACTCATTTGGAGAATACAGTGAAATTTGGGAACATGCTTACAGTGTTGCCAGGTTGGCTTAAAGCAGGGGTCCTCAAACTTTTTAAACAGGGGGCCAGTTCACTGTCCCTCAGACCGTTGGAGGGCCAGACTATAGTTTTAAAAAAAAAAAACTATGAACAAATGCGGACACAGTACAGGAGATGAATATTTGAAAAGAATCTTGCGAGCCCAATATAAAAATTCCTGTTGTTGGATCGCACACCTTTAACACATAACTACCAATGTGAAAACCGTGAAAATAAAATAAATAAGGTATTGCGCTCACAACACTTCCATCTGTGCATATACACAAAGAAATGTGTATTATTGAACACTAATGACCATATTTGTAAATCTTATGGAATCATTTAAATGAACAATATGCAATGAACAATATACATGAAACCGTGAAGAAATAATCTAATAAATGAAAATAAAAAATATATATGAATCTGTGTAGTAATAATATCCCACAGTAACAGTGACTTTGTGCTGAAGAATCTTCAATATTATCAAATAAAACAATATATATGATTCTGTATAATAATAATGTCCCACACAAACAGTGAATTGGTGCTGTTGAATCTTCAATATATATAAAAAAAGGTGACTGCTTGTGCCTCCTCCCTTAAGTGAAGATATGCGCTCACCTCATGAATAGCCTGCAATTAGGCTATTAACGCTTGCGGTTCACCTCCTTTGGAACCTACTAGTTTTAGAAACTCCTGTGTGAAAGATATCCATAGACTGCGACATGTGATGTAAAAAAAGATCTCCTCTCATGGGGTGTCACTCCAGTATCTTCCTGACTCCTTGCGATTCTCCATAAGTAAGAAAAAATCTTGACATGGTGCTTTATCGTTTAAAAGTTTTAATTGTGCTGACAGGTAGCACTCACATAAATTCGTATAGTGGCAGTACAAATATATTGCAAACCACCGCTGGCTGCTGGAGCTGTGTTCTCGTGGTCCGATTGTCGGACTGGCTTCCTCCGAGTGACGTGCACTGTCCCACCCCTACGCGTTACGCCACTGGTCACGTGGCTTCATCAGGGGGATTTGATTCACGTGGCTTCATCAGGGGGATTTGATTCACGTGGCTTCATCAGGGGGATTTGATTCAATCAAATCCCCCTGATGAAGCCACGTGACCAGTGGCGTAACGCGTAGGGGTGGGACAGTGCACGTCACTCGGAGGAAGCCAGTCCGACAATCGGACCACGAGAACACAGCTCCAGCAGCCAGCGGTGGTTTGCAATATATTTGTACTGCCACTATACGAATTTATGTGAGTGCTACCTGTCAGCACAATTAAAACTTTTAAACGATAAAGCACCATGTCAAGATTTTTTCTTACTTATGGAGAATCGCAAGGAGTCAGGAAGATACTGGAGTGACACCCCATGAGAGGAGATCTTTTTTTACATCACATGTCGCAGTCTATGGATATCTTTCACACAGGAGTTTCTAAAACTAGTAGGTTCCAAAGGAGGTGAACCGCAAGCGTTAATAGCCTAATTGCAGGCTATTCATGAGGTGAGCGCATATCTTCACTTAAGGGAGGAGGCACAAGCAGTCACCTTTTTTATATATATTGAAGATTCAACAGCACCAATTCACTGTTTGTGTGGGACATTATTATTATACAGAATCATATATATTGTTTTATTTGATAATATTGAAGATTCTTCAGCACAAAGTCACTGTTACTGTGGGATATTATTACTACACAGATTCATATATATTTTTTATTTTCATTTATTAGATTATTTCTTCACGGTTTCATGTATATTGTTCATTGCATATTGTTCATTTAAATGATTCCATAAGATTTACAAATATGGTCATTAGTGTTCAATAATACACATTTCTTTGTGTATATGCACAGTACAGGAGATGACCAGAGACTGCGGATATACAACGGCGGTGGGAATACTGGGCCGGCCGCTCCATAAGACACACAGACATTTCCCCCCAAGTGTGTCTTATGGAGCGAAATAGTGCCCCATCATTGGTGTGAGTGGGAGGAATAGTGTCCCATCATTGGTGTCAGTGGGAAGAATCGTGCCCCATCATTAGTGTCAGTGGGAGGATTAGTGCCCCATCATTGGTGTCAGAGGGAGGAATAGTGCCCCATCATTGGTGTCAGAGGGAAGAAACGTGCCCCATCATTGGTGTCAGAGGGAAGAAACTTGCCCCATCATTGGTGTCAGTGGGAGGAATAGTGCAATATCATTGGTCTCAGTGGGAAGAATCGTGCCCCATCATTGGTGTCAGTGGGAGGAATAGTACCCCATCATTGGTGTCAGTTCGAGGAATAGTGCCCCATCATTAGTGTCAGTGGGGGGGAGGGATAGTGCCCCATTATTGGTGTCAGTGGGGGGAGGAATAGTGCCCCATCGTTGGTGTCAGTCTGGGGGGGGGGATAGTGCCCCGTCATTGGTGTCAGTGGGGGAAGGGGATAGTGTCCCAACATTGGTGTCAGTGGGAAGAAGAGTGTCCCATCATTGGTGTCAGTAGGAAGAATAGTGCCCCATCATTGGTGTCAGTGGGAAAAATAGTGCCCCATCTTTGGTGTCAGTGGGAGGAATAGTACGTCATTGGTGTCAGTGGGGGGGAATAGTGCCCCATCATTGGTGTCAGTGGGAGGAATAGTGTCCCATCATTGGTGTCAGTGGGAAGAATAGTGCCCCATCTTTGGTGTCAGTGGGAGGAATAGTACGTCATTGTGTCAGTGGAGGGGAATAGTGCCCCGTCATTAGTGTCAGTGGGGGGGATAGTGTCCCAACATTGGTGTCAGTGGGAGGAATAGTGTTCTGTCGTTGGTGTCAGTGGGGGGGATAGTGTCCCATCATTGGTGTCAGTGGGAGGAATAGTGTTCCATCGTTGGTGTCAGTGGGGGGTGGAATAGTGCCCCATCGTTGGTGTCAGTGGGGGGTGGAATAGTGCCCCATCGTTGGTGTCAGTGGGGGGTGGAATAGTGCCCCATTGTTGGTGTCAGTGAGGGGGAGGAATAGTGCCCCATCATTTGAGTCAGTGGGGGGGGAGGAATAGTGCCCCATCATTGGTGTCAGTGGAGGGTGGAATAGTGCCCCATCATTGGTGTCAGTGGAGGAATAGTGCCCCATCATTGGTGTCAGTGGAGGGTGGAATAGTGCCCCATCGTTGGTGTCAGTGGAGGGTAGAATAGTGCCCCATCGGTGTCAGTGTGGGGAGGAATAGTGTCCCATCATTGGTGTCAGTTGAGGAATAGTGCCCCATCATTGGTGTCAGTGGGAGGAATAATACCCCATCATTAGTATCAGTGACACCAATGATGGGGCACTATTCCTCCCACTGACACCAATGACACGTAACTTGCTGATCCCTGCTCCAGCCTAGGTGCTACTGCAGCCAGTATACCTGGTTGCAGCAGCACCATCAGCACGGCACACTTACCTGTCAGCTGTCCTTCTTCACTCCGGCCTCTCCACCACTCGATGTTTGCGGGGGGGTATGCGCTCGGCTCTGCCTCCTCGCAGGTGATTGGCCGCCTGTGTGCCTTTCCTGAGCTACAGTTCTGGAGCCCATTCACCGGTGAGGAGGCTGAACCGAGAGGCAGGAGTGAGGGAGTGGCCGGAGTAAATGAAGGAGCAGCGCTTCCTGGACTGGATCATCGTGGGACTGGGATTGGAGCCAGGTAAGGTACAGAAGCCCCCTGCCCGCCCCTGTACTTAGTGTCCCTTCCTGTCCCGCTCCTGCCGGCGGGCCGGATAAATGGCCTCGGCGGGCCGCATGTGGCCCGCGGGCCGTAGTTTGAGGACCCCTGGCTTAAAGATTCTAACACTGTGAAGCTGGACATTGATCTGGATATGGAGAGTCTCTAAGTGATCTGCATATAGGGTTGCCACCTCTTTCCCTTAAAATTGAACACATATTATTTAAACAGGTTCTGAGGCTAATTTAATGCAGATAAGGCACTAAGTGAGTTTAGTTACCACCTTAATTAGCCACAGTACCTGTGTAATTAATATGTGTTTGGTTTCAAAGGGATGAGGTGGCAACCATATCTGCATGGTATCCAGGACCTCTAATCCTCATCTCTTTACCCGGCCTGCAATAAAACTCTAAAAAGACAAAACTGGTGACTGGTGCTCAAAATACTTTCTTAGTCCTAGATTGTAAGCTCCAAAGAGCAGGGCCCTCGATCCCCTCATGTTTTGCATTGTATTGGTATTGTTCTGTCACATGTTCTGTCCCCCTTTGTAATGTACAGCGCTGAGCGAACTAAAGCTACTGGCGCTTTATAAATACTGTATAATAATAAATACTGTATAATAATAATAGTCCCCCATTTTTTGCCATGGACTCAACCCTGGTATGAAATTGTAGCCTGCCCCCTGCCTCTGGACAGTCAGGGGGTGCTACAGGAAGGTATGTATATGCTGCTGGGGCTGGGAGCATTACAGCATTTAAGAACATATTAACCACTTGCCCTCCTGAGGATTTACCCCCCTTAATGACCAGGCCTCTTTTTGCTACTCGGCACTGTACTAATTCAACTGATAATTGCTGCGGTCATGCAATGCTGCACCCAAACGAAATTTACGTCCTTTTTTCACACAAATAGAGCTTTCTTTCGGTGGTATTTGATCACCTGTGCACTTTTTATTTTTCACGATATAAACAAAAAAAAGCCAAAAATTTTGAAGAAAAAACTATATTTTTTACTTTCAGCTATAAAAAATATATTAAGTTAGTTATAATTATAATATATAGGCCAAAATGTATTCTACTACATGTTTTTGGTTAAAAAATCCCAATAAGTGTATATTGATTGCTTTGTGTGAAAGTTATAGCGTCTACAAACTATGGTATAGATACTGCAATTTACGCCATTTTTTTGCTATACAGCGCTGCGCTAGTTTAACGGACAATTGCGCGGTCATGCAATATGGTACAAAAATGAAATTTATGCCCTTTTTTTCACACAAATAGAGCTTTCTTTTCAGTGGGTATTTGATCACCTGTGCGTTTTTTATTTTTTGCGCTATAAAAAAAAAGGCTGACAATTTCGAGAAAAAAAAAAAACAATATTTTGGACTTTTTGTTATAAAACATGTCCAGTAAAAAAATGTAAAAATCAAATTTCATCATAAATTTCAGCCAAAATGCATTCTGCAACATGTCTTTGCTAAAAAAAAACCCAATACGTGTACATTAATTGGTTTACATGAAAGTTATAGCTTTTACAAATGGCGGGAAAGATACTGGGATTTTTCATTTTTTTTCTACTAATAATGGCGGCGATCAGCGACTTATGGCAGGACTGCAGAACTGCGGCAGACATATTGACACTGGGGGGGAACTGACTTGGGGTCACTGACATCCCCAGTGACACCAATACAGCGATCAGTGCAAAAAAAAAAAAACACTGACACTGTACTAATGGCACTGGGGAGGAAGGGGTTAACTTTTTTATTCACTGAAAGGGTTAACTGTGTGAGGGGAGTGTTTTACTAGGGGGCGGGGGGGTGTGTGTACTGCACTGGGACACACACTGATTGTTAGAGATAAACTCTTCTCTCCTGATCAGCATGTCAGGAGCTGTCAGGGAACTAACAGAAAGCAGAGCTACTGCAGCCCTGCTCTCTGTCCGTGATTGCCGCTAATTGACCCTTCAATGAGCTGGCATTGTTATTATTATTATGCAGGATTTATATAGCACCAACAGCCCTGCTCCTTAGAGCTTACAATCTAGGAGGGAGGGTCAAGTGATACAAAAGGTAATAGCTCTGGGGGATGAGCTAGTGGAGAAAATAAAAGTACAGTTGTTAGGTGGGGGCAGAATAGGCTTATCTGAAGAGAAGGGTTTTCAGGGATCGCCTAAAAGCAAACAGAGCAGGAGATAGTTGGACAGATTGGGGTAGGGAGTTCCTTCAGATGAGAGAGGCTCGGGAAAAATCCTGGAGGTGAGCATGAGAGGAGGTGACAAGGGGGCTAGAGAGTAGTAGGGCTAGGGAGGAATGAAGAATGTAAATTAATTTAGTTAACCTAACTAGAACCACCCAAAACAGTTTTTGGTGGATTTTATGGCACGTAATAGCTGATAAATAGATGATAAATAGCTGTAGTAAGGCAAGCCATAGATGATTTGATTTTCTTTCCTTCCACTGTGGTTGCAAAATTCCACTTTAACCAGATAAACTATCCAAGGCACCTCAGTCTTCACAGTCCCCCCACCCTCAGTCTTTAGAGTACCCCCCCCCTCAGTCTTTACCGTCCTCACGTACCCCCATCCTCAGTCCTCACAGTCTCCCCATTCTCAGAGTCCCCCCCCCAACCTCATCCTCACACCCCCATTACAACCCCCCCCCATCCTTAGTCTTCACAGCCCCCCCATCCTCAGTCTTCACATCCCCCCATCCTCAGTCCCCATCCTCAGTCTTCACAGTATCCCCCATCCTCAGTCTTCACAGCCCCCCCCCATCCTTAGTCTGCATAGTCCTCCCCATCTTCACTCTACACAGTCTCCACCATCCTCAGTCTTCACAGTTTCTCCCCACCTTCAGTATTCACAGTATTCCTCCACAGTCCCCTCCATCCTCAGTCTTCACAGTCCCCCCCCCCCCATCTTCAGTCTTCACAGACCCCCTGTGACGGACCACCTGACATCCTGCCTGGGTGCCTCTGTCAGAAAGCTGCTTCCTTACCGCTGGGACACAGGATCCAGGAGTTTTTTATACACACAGGAACAGGAGGTTTTTATACACTTCAGAAATAGGGGCAGTCCCAGCATGAGCAATACAAACAAATATTACACATTGGGATAAATATCCCACACTGATTAGATAACAAAGTAAAGCTGACACCAGACTAATCCCATCAGGAGGACTAGCCAATAGACAGAAACAATAGGTGACTCAATTAACTCAATTATTAATGTAACAAATACACAACAGTAAACACATAACACCTTAATAAACAGTTTACAGCAAGAGACCCCAGCATCAGGTTGTTTTGAGCTTATTATATTAACATCTGCTCTGAGTCTGGGGGGGGGGGGGGGGTTGAAGCAGTCAATGCTGCTTTTGGCACAGGGGCCCCAAATCTGTATCTGGGTCCTCCAGTTCTCAGAGTCTGTGTGTTTTGGGGAGACATGGACTTGAATCCAAAGTAAAACTACACCAAAGGTCCCCCCAGGCACACACCTCCCAAAGAATAGAGCCCACTCAGATGCCAGGGCCCATGGTCAGTAGGCATGAGGCTGGCCTGCAGTCCCCTCCAAAAGCCGTTGTCTTAGTGGTTGCGTCTGTCACACCCCCCATCCCAGTCTGGACAGTCCCCCCATCCTCAGTCTTCACAGTCCCCCCCCAATCCCCAGTCTTCACAGTCTCCCCCCCCCAATCTTCACAGTCCCCCCCAGCTTCAGTCTTTACAGTACCCGCCTCCTCAGTCTTTACAGTACCCCCATCCTCAGTCTAAACAGTCAACCCATACCCAATCCTCACAGTCCCCCCCACCTTCAACCTTTACAGTCCCCCCATCCGCAGTCTTCACAGCCCCCCCCATCCTCAATCTTCTTCAATCAGCCCCCCCATCCTCAATCAACCTCCTGAATAACAGTACAATTGAAGTACACTAAATTAAATCATTGAAATCAGCAACATCAAGCTTAGTAAATTAGCCTTTTAAATACTAAACGTGCAATGCCTTATAATGGTACATTGTAGCAAAAAT